GGCATCGTTAGTAGAGATCGCCGATCAACTCAGCGATCCGCCCTTTGGTAGTTTTCATCTCCGTCTTGCTCTATCATTCAGCATCGTCGTGTTGGGATCATTCGCGGAACTGCTCGGCGATACATCGAATGCTCCTTTTCACCGCCGATTTGATCATTTCCTTCAGGGCTCAGCACACTGGAACAAAAGGCGAGGCTAATAGCTTTTGACGACTCGCCGAATGGGTTCGGCGATTCTTGGATCTTCATTTCTTCGTTCTTTCAGCTGCCTTTGTTCCTTTTTTGCTAAGTAGTGTCTATGCTTTCATTCAAACGCCAAATACCTAAAACTTAAGGGTTTTCATCAGATATTGAGATAAAATATGCATTTGAGGAAACTAATTCTATCAAAATGTAGCCCTAAATGAGTTTAATTTGTGGACTCATCAACACCCCCAACTTAACTTTCGCTTGTCCTCAAGCAAACTCAAGTTCAGCCGTTCAAAAAGGGTGTCTCGAACAGTGCTACACAAGACTCAATCATGAATGCACACAACAAGACTCAATTTACTTATGCAAAGATCAAATGTGCACTCAAAGATTCAAGTTGTGACTCACCAATATCAAAGAATCTCATGCTCACAATACTTGCTTCAAATGCAAGTTCAAGCTTAACCAAAGTGTTCAAATGCCCTCACACAAGGAATGATTTCATATTCACATTGTTTACAGTTTAAAGCTTCAGAATCAGATGCAACGCTCACACTCACAAAGAAGAACATAATACATAATTTCACTCATAGGTTTGCCCGTATTTTCCAATCAACAGTTGTTTCAGCTCACTCAAGATCAAAAAGGTCTTTTCAAGGCTTGTAATGGGGCTGAGTGCAAATGTATGGTCATTTAAGCTCAGTGACTTTCATCCTCATGAAATGTGGGACTCACAACACTTCCTTTCCTTTTCCTTCATCATTCTCTTTAGTGCTCATAAGTCATCTTATTATTCCATTTCCATGGATTGTTTGGGAACCCCATTTCTTTTGTACTTTATTCCACAACTTTTCTTTTCATTCTTTTTCTTTTTCTTTCTTTTTTTATTTTTATATGAAGGGGTTCCATTTTTCTCAAGACCATGGGTAGGAGGAAACTTTCCTTGCACTTCTTGACTTGCCCTTATCTTTTCACCACACCCCCAACTTAGGCTTTTGGCCTAAGTTGGCTATCCAACTAACCACAACTTCATAAGGATTATGGGTGAGGGATAAAGAAAGGTCTAGTTTTCATCAAGTTTCTTCCAAAAGAAGGTAAGGCTCAAGGGGTGTTCAAAAACGGTTCACATACTTACAGGGTAGGTCACAAAAGAGGTATATGTCAAATTGGATCACACTCTTAGAAGTTGCCTAATTAAGAGATAGCATCACTTAGTTGATCGGACCAACGAGGAAAATTCTAGGATCCATCATGCGTAGTTCACAGGTAAGCTCATCACATTAGGCATTGACGCTATCAGTCAAACAAGTCTCCACACTTTCGCTAGTGTGCAATGATCATCACAAGAGACTCAATTCGATACTAGGCTAGTCATAACGAGATGCAAAGAGTTCACATATTGTCTATGCAACTTCATTTGGCCTCATCGTAGCTGCGTATTCATGTTCGTTCGATTGAGAGCACTATTCAAGTTATCGATATTGATTGGAACCGAGACTTAAATTTTGCAAAAGAATAACCACAGGTAAAATTCTAGGATCCATCATGCATAGTTCACATGTAAGCTCATCACACTAGGCATTGACACTATCAGTCAAACAAGACTCCACACTTTCGCTAGTGTGCAATGATCATCACAAGAGACTCAATTCGATACTAGGCTAGTCATAACGAGATGCAAAGGGTTCACATATTGTCTATGCAACTTCATTTGGCCTCATCGTAGCTGCGCATTCATGTTCGTTCGATTGAGAGCACTATTCAAGTTATCGATATTGATTGGAACCGAGACTTAAATTTTGCAAAAGAACAACCACATTCAACACACGAGAGGTGGCAAAAAATTTTGGACGGGTCAAAATCATTTTTGCAATTTAAAATAAAAGGAGCCACAAGTTCAAACATCCACAGAAAGCAGTATTTAACACAATTTAAGCACAAAGCCCAAATATAAATAAAATACGAACATCAATAGCACACAAATGTGGGCCTCACCCCACAACAAATGAAAGCAATTTGTCCTCAAATGCAATTAACACAAAATCCAAAAGTCAAAATAAAGTAAGACATAGAGGGAGGTAAATAGGGGATCCTGGCTAATCGGTCGCTCCATCTGTCTGGGCTTCAGTCCCCGGAGTAACCCTAGAAGAACCAGTTCCACTGGATCCAGCAACAGGTGCTAAGGAAGCCTACACATCATCATCTATCATAATTGCTTTCATCTCGGTCAGGTCTTCATCTGCAGCTCCCTCATTCTCCTCATGCATCTCTTCATCAGTCTCTGCTTCTGACTCAGGATTGGTTGTCTGCTCCGGTCTATCCCCATATCTAGTGGTGGTCTGAAGCATCTCAGCCACGTTTGGAATCTCCACTGTTCCAAAGACCATGGACACGTCGGTGGACTTCAGGTGGTCTACATTTTTTTGCAGCTCAGCAATGTCAATTTTTAAAGTCGTCACCTCCTCTGTGGCCCCTTGGTTGTGATCACACACCGCTATCATGGCCGCTAGGGCATCAATGGTAGTGTTCAGAGGTGTCACAACATCATCTAGGGTGATCTGGATCATGCCTGGAACAGAGGCCTCTAGACTGGCAGCCCGACGATAAGTAGAAAGGGTCAGTTGTCCCATTCGAAGTAGGGAAGCCTAGGTGAGTAGAGGTCGAGAAACAGCAGCAACATCAGTGGGTCTAGGAGACCGTGCAGCAACGGAAGAACCAGGAGTACCAGTAGGAGTAGCAGTGGTAATGGATATACCTGAAGGCCCAGGGGCAGGAGTAGGCAGAGGTGCCTCTGCAGGTGATGATTTCGTGTTTACTAACTGCACTGATGCTGCCTTCTTCCTTTCTGCTTGATCCTTAAGGTACTCGGTTTCGATCCTTCAGATATCAGTAGAGGCTGTGGCCATCACTTCCACATCCTTCTTGGCATCTCGAGGCACCCGGACTTGTTTGCATAATTTTGTGATCAAGACTTGGAATAGAAGTGAGGTTCGGCTCTACCTTGCACGGATGAGTATCTCCAAAGCAATGATTGTACCCAAGTTTATCCGAGTCTCCTCTATGATGCAACCCAGGCAAGCTTCCTTGGCAAGGCGAATGATCAACTCATTCTGGGACGACATAATTGTGCTGCTGATAAAACCGAACCAGAACCTTGCGGCTATGTTTAGTTCTTTCTTTTCAATCGGAACTTCTTCCGCCAACCACTTCGGAGTCTCATCTGAAATTAGTGGGGTAAACCACTTCTTTATCTCATCCAGCTTCTTTTTTCTGATCAAGTGCTGGCAGTGATCCCCAATATTCGTGGACATGCCCAAGACTATGTTGATTGCCCCACTATCACACTTCACCCTCCTGCTTTTGACAACCACACAGTCAACTTTTTTGAAGGCTGTTAGCTACTTTTTTTGTGGTATTAGTGCACTGTATGCATTATAGAACTCTCTTACCCAATTTGGAATATGAGGGCCATCGGGTTTAGTGAAGATTTGGAACTTGTGGTATCTCAGGCACTCCATTATCTCTGGGTGCCTGTTTATAACCCCGTCTATGGACAAATGTTTTTCCTCCAGAATTGTCCTCAGCCCCTCAGCCCCTCAGCCTTTACTCGATTTATTGACTTAGGCGGAGGACCTTGTACTGGAGGCGCTAATACCATTGCCTGCTCTGGAACTGGAGGTGTATTAGAGGTAGGCTGGGGAGTCTTGACCCTGGATGGATCATTCATCTTCTTAGTTCACCGCTTAGCCCTATGTGCTATTAACAGATCATCCTTATCAAAATACACACCTTCGCTTTCAGATTGGTTGGGGTCATTTCTATAAAAGACATCACTGTCAGTGCTTGCATCTGATAATTCAAGGGTCTTGTCTTTGCCCTTGCCTTTTCCACCAGTTGTGGAAGGTTTAGCAACCTTGCTTCTGGATGCAGCTGCATTCTCGTCGATTGTAATCCCTTTTGTTTTACCTTGGGTGGCTTGCTTCTTCCTGCAACTTTAGATCTAGCCATTATCATGCCGTAATTTTTCTAACCATAGAAAAATCACTCTTTTTGAAATGTTCCAAGTATAAAACAATTCGAGAAAAATACTTAGAAAAGAGTCGCCACTTAATTTTTTAAAGAAATTAAGAAAACTTATAATTTTCAAAGATTTAAACAGAAAAAAATCATTTGAAAATACCAAAGAGGGTTCGGGGTTCAATTTACACTTCGGGAAGGGTTTAAACATTCGAAGTGCCCGCTAACATGCGGTTGACTTGCGACTTGACTAAAAATAATTTTTTTGACTAATTCTTAGAAAAAATGATGTAATAAAAAATAATAATTTCCAATATTGGATTAAATTTGAAAAAAAATAATTAAATATATGACACCTTTTATTTTATTTTATTTTTTAGAGAAAATGGACCTAAAAGAAAACATTTGAATTAAAACGCGAGTGAATAGAATTTTATCAAAACTAGATTAATTAGGACTTACTTGACTCATTTTCTAAAATAATAATTTAATCCAAATTGGTTAATTTTAAGCATGAAACCATTTTAAATTAATTGAAGAATTAAAGTTTCGACTAACCTTTTTGAGAAAAATGACTAACTAGAAAGAGAACATTTTTTAGTTCATTTGAGAAAAAATACTTTAACTTAAAACCACTTTAAAATAAAAATGTAATCAAGTGAAGAGGCCTTAAAACATATCTTTTTTAAGAACAAAGATTTAACTTAATTAAAATACAAAATTCGACCAATATTTAATTAATAAAATAAATGACCTTAACACAAAAAAAAGTATTCAAAGCAAACCAATACAAAGAAAGTAACTCGTCTTTTGGGGAATCTAATTAAGTTAATTAAAAATTATAAAGTTAGAGTTAAACAACAAACAATAAATAATTAAAGAGTAAGGGATAAATTGAATTTTGGCCTCCTTTTGGGCCAATTTCGTTGGAATTTTTGGGGGTTTAATTCTAAACCCGTTTTTGTATACACCTAGTGTATATTAATGTATATGAGCATATATATCAGCTCTTTTCATGTATCTCTTGCTTCCGAACACCTGTGTTTCGCCTCAGCCCTCTGTTTTTGCGTTTTGGGCCTGCATATCAGCGTATACCGCTGTATACAGCCCATTTTTAACTTTTCGGGACCTGTAATTTGACTTTTCAGCAACTCGACAAGATGTGGCCGACTCAATAAAAGAATCTTGGGCCTTTATGGCCCTTTCGAAGTACGAAGGGAAGAAAGATGAAGCCCAAGAGGGCTCAGATGGTATTACATTCAACAAAATGATAATAACGATTAGCGTCCGTAAATAATAAGAGAAAGAGCATACCTAAGACAAATTATCATGGCAGCTCCTAAACTAATACACAGTAACTAAAACCCAAGTCATGCAAATGAATGCAACCAATTTAACAAATAACAAATAAATACATGCTAACAAATGAATGCATGTTTAACAAGTGATGTCAACTGTAGCCATATTCAACACTGCTAAGCTAAATTTAATAATCTTAAAACAACAATAAGTGATATTAGTGAGACACACCGTAGAGTATTAAATAAACTCCAAACAATTTTAGCAAAGGTTAAGACAACAAGCCAAATGGAGCATATGAAAGTTAAATTATTATTTTTCTTTTAGATAAAGAAGCTACTGGTTAAAATAGAACAAATGGAGCTTATCATAAGAGCTATTCTTTATGACCAAGGGAGAAATAATGATAACAACCATCCCTTTTATAATAGATATGAACTTTTTAGTGTTAAACCGAGGACATAAGCAGAGAACTGAACAGGTTGGGACTTAAGCAAAATACGGAAGACATGAATTAAACGACTCACTATCCACAATAAAGAAACTTAGCTAGTAATACTAACCCACTAGAACAGAAGGCAAAACATGACCTTTTGACAAAGAAGAACAAATTTAAACCAAGATGAAAACAATAAGATGAGTTTCAACACAAGACAAGGGCTGAAATGAAACCAAACAGAGGAAAGATTAACTCCACTATATGACACATACCCATCTAAATGCACTTTCCACACAACAACAAGATATGCTAAAATCTAATTCATCAATTCACTTAAGACTTAAATACCAACGAGATATATATATATATATAACATACCAAGAGAGGAACAAACCACAACTAAGACAAAAGCAAGATTTAGGTTAAAACATATAAACCAAATTTATACACAAAATTTATATAAGCTTATGAATTCGAGATAACTACAATCTGGTTATTTGAACAAGAGGAGCTACGGACAACGGCCATTCGAAATCGAAAGAAATGAAGAAAAAATTATTCACTTTTCCAACTAATATCCATTTCAAAACCGAACAAGTCAAAATAAAAGATCAACATTATTGTCTACAGATGTGCAGATTAGGTAAACATTGAGAGAGTCTCTAGTCATGAGTCACAAAATTAAAAAAAAAGAAGAAAAGAAAATCAAATCAGCCGATAGACAATAAAGAAAATAAAATTGTGTGATTTACGCAATCAATATTATGACCAAAATGATCATGAGATCCTTAGCTCAAACAGGAATTTAAGCAAAGCAAAGTTACAAGGATTTTACCTCTTCTTGGGCAGCGAACTTGACAACGAGCTGAGAGCAGGGATTCTTCTACCATGAAATCTTAATACGAACAGCAAACAAGAATTCTGGGCAGAATTAGAGCAACTACCTTTTCGGAATTTAGAATCAAAGGACTAAAATGTGAAATTCTAAAGTGTAAAACCTATTTGCCGAAAACTCAAACTCAAAAAACTCTCCCCCAACAGTGATTAAAATAGATGAATATATAGATGGAAATTAGGGGGAAATCGCGTGAAATTTTGAATTTTAAAATTCGAATTCATTCTGCCCCTTTTCAAGACAACCGTAGAAAGCTTTGAAAAAATTCCCTAAAATGGGGGAAAGGAGACGTGAGGGTGATGGGTCTGCAGGGTATGGGTTCTTGCAAGGTAGGAGACACAATTTCCGGGTTGATTTAGCGTGAAAAAGACGAAGGCAAGTATGGGGGTGGGGTCGCTGTTTTTCTTCACGCCAAGAAGAAGAGTATGGGGATGGGTCGGGTATTTTGGCTTGTTGTAGTATTGTATTGGAGAGTTTTGGATTTGTTATGAAGTTGGGCTGCTGACATTAATGTGAGAAAGGGAGAAATGGGCTGGGAATTTGAAATGAAAATGGGCCCAAAATTGGCCTATTGAATTGGGTATGGGTGAGGTAAAAAGGGGCTAGTTTTGAATTAAGAATTTGATCAAATTGATTGAAATCGTAGCTAATTAAAATTAAGAACTTAGTCAAATTGAATTTAATTAGCAAATTTGACTTATAATTAAAGATGACAAATTAATATAATTAATTAATGAACTTCCTAGTTAAATTGATTATAAAATAATTAATTTAATTACAAACTAATTAACTAGAAATTATAACTATAACTTAAACTAAAGTAAATTAGTAAAATACTTAACTAAAATGTAAATCTTTTGAGATAATTTTTTATATTTATAAAAAACGTGATTGTAAAAATATACATATTTATTATTTAAAATTATTAAAATTATTAAAGGACGAAATTTCTTTAGAAATAACTTGAAAGTATTTTGAATTTCATAAAACTCATTAATTCAAAATTTATAACCATCACTACAGAAAATATTTAAAATATAAAGTCTTTTTGAGATGATTTTTAAATATTCATAAAATACATTAATCATATACATAATTATATAAACATATATATTATTAAAATTATAAAATGATACAACTATTTAAAATAACTTGTAAACTATATGTATTTATTTATTTTTATTTTTTGAAATTTTATAAAACTAATTATTTTAACTTATTTGAAATTAAAGAAGTTCGATGATTAATCTATAATGTGGAGGTCATAAATTGGGTGTCAACAGCCATTTCTGCAAAGAATTGGGAAGAAGTTAAAACAACTAAATCAAATTCGTAGGGACACAATTGCAGAAAAACTTGTCAAAACGATCGGCGAATTGCCAAGTTGCTTTGGCGAGCTAGGATGAACTCGCTGATAGTAGTTGGCTCAAAAAATTTAACAAGTCAGCGATGAAAAAATCCTTTCGGCGAGTTGCCGACTTCTTTCGGTGAGCAGGGTTTTATCTGCCGAATGATACAATGCAATAAAGGTTCAGGGGTGCAGCGATCAAGGAGACTTTCAGCGAGTCGCCGAAGCTTTAAGCGATCAATTACTTCTCACCGAAAGTTACAGAACCCATGTCACAAATAACATGAAATTAAAGGCGAGATGGGGTCATTAGGTGAACCGTCGAGTGGTTTGGCAAGCTCGACCCAGCTCGCCAAACGGCCCAACGTGTCTATCTCCAACCTATCTTCTCGACTTCAACCCCACAACCTCCGAAAACAAATTAAACTATGCACTAGTACAATTAAGCTCAGACTCATAACACTTAATCATGATAAATACCACGCATGCACAAACCCACAAGATTTTTAATCATTTTTACACACAACAAAAAGGGAGTTCAAAAATCAAGATAAAATGGGCAAGATTTACGAATCGAACTCGGCATTTCACAAATCTAACCCTATCAAAGAGGCCCAGCACACATTAATATGATAAGCCCAATTGCATAAGAGAGCAAATTTTTCAAAGTAGCCTCGGGGTTCGGGAAAACCAACCTTTATGCTGATCGAAGTACTTTGAAATTCTACGAGGAAATGTAATCCCAAGTTCGAACACCAATTGATGACTAAAATACTAGGAATGCAAAGATAATGAAAATTACTCATTGGGTGCAGATTTGCGAAAGTTGAAATCGAGTGGAAAATGAAAGTTTGTCAAACTTTGAAACCATTAGCCTCTAAAACCGTCCAGTTGTAGCCACTTCAACGACATTAGTCACGACCGCCGAACTACTCGGCGTCACGCCGAGTAGTCACCTTCCTCGCTGAGTTTTACAGACTCCAATGTAAATTGGTCTTGAGTCTAACGGCGGTCTAGTTCGGGGTCGCTGAACCGTTTGACGATTCGCTAAATGAACCTATAGATTGCCAATCTACACTTGTCGATCACTCTCCACATTTCAACCTGCAGAATCAATACACCATTATTTCTATAATAAAACAAAGCATTTAAGACCTTGGGTTGCCTCCCAAGAAGCGTCTTAGTTAATGTCGTGGCACGACGTGAATCAGCTCTTAAATTTCAGTATTGAGGGTTGCCTCATTTTCATAAGGCCATTCCTCTGTTGGATCCAAGTTGGGCGAGGGCATCCATCGGTCCATTTGGGTCCCCAGCAGCCGAATGAGCAAAGAATGAGAGGTATTCATATGATTTAGCATCATAATATTCTCTCTAATCTTTTCCAATAATCTGTCGTGCTTATCGACTCTGTGTAGGATGAGCAAGAGGACCTCTCGCAATTTCCTCGCCCTCTTTCTTCTTCGTCCTTCGACGTTTGTGAGGAGGGATGTAATTATTCTTTCCTTTGGATAATAACTCTAAGTCATTGACCTTTTGGGCCAAATCATCGAGCTGCTCCAACAAGGTGGCCATTCCTTGGTCTTTCTCCTTCTTTTTGATGGTCTTGGCCATGTGTTCAAGGAGGTGGGATGCTTTTGCGTAGGGCAACTGGATGAATCTGCCTAGAGAAAGTTGATCAGTCACCATTTGATTCTCATGGCCAATACCTTTATAGAAGCATTCCAGTAGCATACGTTCTGGAATGTCATGAGTTGTGTACTGATGCACGAGAGCTTTAAATCATCGCCACAACTCATGAACTTACTCCCCTTTCTCTCTACTGAAACTTAAGATGCTATTCTTGAGCATCAAATTTTTCTTTAGACGAAGGTAATCCATTTGATCACCAGCTTCACTAATTACACTCATTTTCCTGTTTCCGTCACAAAACAAACAAACAAAAACAAAACTAAAATAAATTTAGTAACCTACGACTAATAAGAACAAAAATCTTACTAAACTAAAAATTCTCAAGTAACACCGCTCCCCGGCAGCGGCGCCATTTGATGTTTGTGTAATCAAGACACAACTTCCAATGCAAGTGTCTACTATCGTACAATAGTATAGTAATCTAACCAAGGGTTGGGGTCAAGTCCCAAGGGAGTGGGCTTGAAAATTAATAGAAAAATAAAATTAAGTTCTAATTAGTCATAGCTAAAATCATTGTCAAATACAAACATACTAAATTTAAGGGGTGACACAAAAGTGTCAATTAACAATGTGATTTTGTCACAGGTAAGTAAAACAAGCAAAAATGCAAAGAGTACTAATCAAGGAAAGGGGATTCTTGGGATGTGATAGGAATACAGATTAGACTATATTGTTGGGTACTTGGTTTTGATAGTAATTTCATTAAATACTTGTGACTAGGCTAGACTAAACTGGGGTAAGCTTTCTCTTGAACAACTTACCCCGAATCTAAATGGGTTCCTCTCGGGACACCCATTTGCCGCATGAAGAACAACCTCCGCCTTAGACCACTCACTCTCTCGAGCTGAGTGTGTGGGGAGAAGGACTAGGGTTCACTCTCTCGAGCTGAACCTCATGTTGACCCACTCCCACCGGTCTCAATTTAGTAGTCTTAGTTTTACGACCTCTCTCTCGAGTAAGTCGAAAACACAAAGGTGAAATCGTATTTGCAACTACAATTTTCATTAAGTTCCACCACAACTACTAAACGAAATCACATTTAAACAACAAATAAACTATCAGCAAGCAAGACCCAACCATTAATCTAACCCATATTCATAAAATCACACCCAGGAATTGGAGTTTTAGCTAGACATGTAAAAGAGATAGAAATTTATACCAATATGAGTTTGCATTCAAATGGGTATGAAGATTTAAGTTTCAAAACAAGCAAAGAGTGAAGAATCCAAGACACCCAAACCCAAAATCTTGGAGTTGAAACCCTTTGAACCTCCAAGTTCTTCAAAACCCTCTCCAAACTTAGAACTCAAAATTCTATGTTAGAAGTTTTATATTAAAAATTTGATAATAACCTACAACTCTCAACGAGTATTTATAGTTTTCAAAAATATGTGTTGTAGTGGACCATTCGACGTCGTTAGTCGAGATCGCCGATCAACTCGACGATCCGCTCTTTGGTAGGTTTCATCGCCGTCTTGCTTTATCCTTCAGCATTATCATGTTTGGATCATTGGGCGACATAGTACAGCTTCGCTTAACTGCTCGGCGATACGCCGACTGCTCCTTTTCACCGCTGATTTGATCATTTCCTTCAGGGTACAGCACACTGTAACAAAAGGCGAGGATAAGACCTTTTGGCGACTCACCGAATGGGTTCGACGATTCTCAAATCTTCATTTCTTCGTTCTTTCAGTTGCCTTTGTTCCTTTTTTCCTAAGTTGTGTCCATGCTTTCCTTCAAACTCCAAATACCTGAAACTTAAGGGCTTTCATCAGATATTGAGATAAAATATACATTTGAGGACACTAATTCTATCAAAATATAACCCTAAATGAGTCCAATTTGTGGACTCATCATCGCCACACACTTGACTAATTTGACCAAAAAGGAGATACCATTTGAATAGACTGAAAAATGTGAGGAAAGCTTTCAAAAGCTCAAGATTCTTTTGACCACCGCACCTATTCTAGCATTACCGGTTGAAGGTAAAGGTTTTATTGTTTATTGTGATGCTTCTCATTCTGGGTTAGGTGCTGTGTTGATGCAGGATAAGAATGTTATAGCTTATGCTTTCGTCAATTAAAGGTGCATGAGAGGAATTATCCAACGCATGATTTAGAATTGGCACCGGTAGTGTTTGCTCTTAAGATTTTGCGGCATTACCTCTATGGTGTTAACTGTGAAGTGTTTACTGATCATCGTAGTTTGCAGCATGTTTTCACTCAAAAGGATATGAATTTGAGACAACGAAGGTGGATGGAGTTACTTAAGGATTATGATGTGACCATTCAATACCATTCGGGCAAGGCTAATGTAGTGGCAGATGCTTTGAGTCGAAAAGCGGTAAGTATAGGTAGTTTAGCTTGCTTGAATGTATCAGAGCGACCTTTGGCTAAAGAAATTTAGACCTTAG